GTAAGGAAGGGGCAGATTTTTTCCTGTTGTGTATTTTCAAATTCTAGCGCACTCAAGCTGGTTTCTCAAACGTACCTACCCCACCTTTAAGGACCATCAATAAATGACCGATGTAGGCTACTAGCTTGCCCATAATAGTCAAAATAAATAGATCAAACTATAACAAATAATACATGGCATGAAATGATTTCAAAAATTGTTTAATAATTATTTTTGGTGTTTTTCAATTGCTTCCATGTCATGTGATTTAATCATGCCATATCAATGGAGAGGCGAAGTCACGCCCATCTACTTCCGGACCATGGGACCCCGGAAGCGAAAAATGTACATTGAATTCAATGGAGAGAGAACACGTATCTTTTGATCCCGTTTGAATTGTGCCACGAACTACACATATGATGTTTGTCAATCTTAAACAATCATTTCCATGTCAAAAAAGTCACATTTTGTCGTAAAACTGCTGAAATATAAGACTATGAAAAATACGCTACTACAAAGACTACAAATCCCAAATCCCATTCTGGGTCGCGTAAGTGATGTCACAGGCATGCTCGGTGATTTATAATAAGACTCGTAATTAAAGCGAAGAAGAAGAAGATCTCATAACTGATTTATTCCCTCCAATAAATTATAGATCGCTAAAAATAAATTCACTTTTACAAGATGCCTGTGTGCTTTGTACCAGGTTGTAGTCATAAAAGTGATCATACCACTTGCTCCTTCTATCGATTCCCGTCTGATGAAAGGACCAGGAGTCGCTGGATCAGACATATCAGGTAATATCATAGGTAATATACATGTTGTGCATGGAACATAGTCAAGTTAGCTACCTAGCTAGTAGCGACGAGTAGCGAGCACGTTAGTTAGCATTACATTACTTAGCCTTGTCATTTTTAGTAGCCTTACCATGAAGTTATTATTTTATTACATGAAGTAAACCAAAATGTTAAACAGTAACCAAACATGATGGTAAGTATTTCGTGAAACTTTTGAAGAGTAGCCTACTGCGCCCTCCACCGGGTGCTAAGGAAGCAGTTCAGGGAGAGTCGAAGGCAGGCAGGGAGCTTTGCATGACATTCTTCTGGACGTGTTTCATTGTGATGACAATCTGTTTGTTGGAAAGACAGTCGTTGTGTGCTTATTGAGAGAAAATTGTTAGAAGAGATAATTATTCAAAGTGTTGTTACTTTAAAGTGTTGTTACTGACCTTTTTCTCTTTTATTTTGTTTACCTCACCTGTAACTGCTGAGACGTTGAGGAACATGCACACTGACCTGCTCTGGCAACCTGATTTCCACTGTACGTAATAGTATTTGGTTATGGTATATTATTTATATACATCAAAGGCACAATGCACCCCCCAGAGACACACATGTATTGAGTGTGATATTTTGCATAGGTCATGTGAAATCATCTTTACATACTAGAAAACTGTAGGAGCGGCAACTTGTTTTGAAATTGAATTTTTAATATCCGATAATAAAGTTGATCTGTTTTCTTTATTCTTCTCTCTTCCCAGCTCCATCACCATTCTCTGTTCCTGCAGGTCCTGCTTGCTAATCAATGCTCATATTTTTTTTACACAATTACAAATAAAGTCATTGCATTGTATGACATGAAGTTGTGCTTCATTCGGAGTCAATAATAAATTCATTCTGCCTTCAACTGCGCAATGATTGTGGACTGCACCGACATCCATGTAGCTGCCCCCCAGTAAGATGAACCAAGCAAAGAGGGTCCCCATCATGCCCAAGGACATCCAGCTGGCCCGCCGCATCCGCGGAGAGAGGGCTTAGACTGACCTGAGACCAGCACACCCAAACACAACAGCTCTTTTAAGAGCCACATACATTTTCAAAGAGTTGCAATCCTACGTTATTATAATGATTAAACTGGTTCATGTATCACTTAGTTTACTGAACCGTGATGAATGAAAGAAATTAGTGAGGTAGTGGTTTACTGAAGTTACAAAGACATTAATATATGAATAACAGGTCAGTGTAAACACAAGCTTCTGTCAATTATGGATCATTCAAACTATTTATATACAAATATGTAATAAAGTTCTAAAACAAGTATTCGGTATATTCCTTGATAGCTTTTGGAGAAGGTTGTTTTTAAGTTTACTAAAATCTATCGTTTCAACTGTTTCACTTTATAAAAAGGGAACAGGTGAGTAGAGCATCATTGAGTTTCTTATTCTGTCAGTAAATTATCCAAATGAATGTTTTTCATTATTTTAGTCAACCCTAAACAAATTGATTGTACCTTTTAATGATGACCTTACATGGTCGGCAAAGTTAAATTAACTTCAGAAAATCAAATCTGTTCTGAGAAAAAACTAATAAATGTTTAAAGATAGGAACTTGCCATCCCACTGAAAAACAGTCCGTAGAGATTTAAAGGCGTAGTTGTAGTTCAGTCCAACGTTTCATTTGGATTCATTTGACAACAGTCAACTATTTTCATAAAGAATATATATATTTTTCAAAGTCAACTTTATTGTCAATCTTACTCAGTTTGAGAGATCAAAAAGACGTTTAAATAAAATTATACAATTTACAGATATGTATACAAATATATATATCCTATATACACCATCATGTATAATGATGGTGTATGATGTAGAAGGAAGTGTGGTAGATAACAAGTAAATATAGAGTTACATACAGATCCATGTTACAGCAAAAGATGGAATAACTAAGAAGCACGCAGTATAATAATAATTACATGCAACAATTAAATAACTGCTCAGCATCTCCACCACAATCCCAATCTGCTGTGTTCCTGTTTTCCTCCCCTCTGCATAACACCCCATCACACATACGAAACACAACGCAGAGTCCGAGGGTGTTAAGAGTATGTTTATTGAAATGTCCTCCTCTCTACTGGCCAACACAGGGAGCATATGCTGGGTGTAGAATTGTTCCAGGAGGAGGAGATTTCCATGCCATGCAGGGTCTTTGGGGATGGGGATGATGATCGCCTCCTTCGTGGTCCACACAACAAAGTAGCAGAGACTCCGGTCTGTGATGTGCAGCTGCCCTTGGACCTGGTGCCAGTATGGGTGATTCTACTTGAGAATATATGACCCACCCTCCTCACGGAGACAGAAGGATGGTAACTGGACTGCCTCCGTGATGGTCATGTTCCTCTGGCTGTGTGGACACTTCACCTCCAGCAGGGCAGATGGCTGCACAAGTCCATCGGGTGATGCTCCCAGAACACCCGACTCACTCACAAAGAGACCAGACTCGATTCGAACACTGTCACTTGATAGGCCTCCACAAAAGCCTTCACCCCTCGTTTACAACCCCCCAGTTGACAGTTGGCGATGTCTCTGGCCAGTGGGTTGTATGTCTCCTCTCGCTGTTGGTAAAGTTGAGACACCGGCTGGACTACTTTGGAAGTGCCAGGCTTCCTCCACTGGCACTCAACATCTGTGGAGCTGATCTGCCACATGGCAAATATTGCCAATGCTGCAGCGTGGCTGCATTTGTACATCTCCTGTGCACAATCACAGACAGCGCTCTGCATCGCGCCATCGTCTCCCATGCAGATCTGTAAAAATAAAGTAAGTACCATTTGTTAGCATGCTATAATAGATTGAATGAGCAATAATACAAGGATGGTCCGGATCTGGGGGTGGGAGGGTTTATTTTTCCATAGTTTTGTCCTCTTGTCTGATTGTTGTTATTGTTTGTTTTTTCTGTATTTTTTGTAATTTGTGTTGTATTGGTTGTGATTGTACATTGTATTTTTCTAAATGTGTATGAATACATTTTTGAAAAACATTTGATCAACAATAAAAAAGGATTTGGTCAGGATCTAGACTCAGTGTGTAGTTTATTAATTAATCAATGCTCTCTACATTAGGAAAACACATACCGGTGTACCAGAGGGAGTCACACACAGCTGTGACTAGATAACCAAAATCCTTGAATCGACACACAGCAAATAAACTCAAATGACACAACGAGAAAAAGGAGATCACACATACAGTATAGTCGATATAAAACTGGCCGCTTCAATCTGAAGAGCAACTAAAACAAAACACGGGAGTGTACCTTGTTCTTGTGAACACTAATGTTATCCACAGCATACACAGAGACCACGAAGTTCTTAAGGAGAAAACTAGTTGCTAAAACAAAACACGTTAGTGTACCTTGTTAGCTAATGTTAGCTAGCTGACATTAACGTTACACATTGCACTCATATTACTCACCGAAACCTTGTAAAGCCGGTCCTGCATGCTGGCTCTTACAGAACCGACTAACTCCCCTTTCATATAGGTACAGCTCTCAACGTGCCCAGACTTGTAGTGATTTTCACCTCGTAAAATACTTTTATTCTCATTCTGAAAGAATGTGGTGAAATGTGCTAACGTGACGGCCATCTTTATGTTGGTGACGCGTATTGTGCGAGACGAGAGACCTGTAGTTCACTGAGCGGTTTCACACGAAAAAATGTGTAACTTCACAGTTTTACGACACATTTTTATTTTTTTGACTTGCAAAATGTTCTTTTAAATTGACAAACATCATATGTGTCATTCGTGGCACAATTCAAACGGGATCAAAAGATAACCTTTCTCTCTCCATTGACTTCAATGTATAATTTTCCGCTTCCGGGGTCCCATGGAGGCTTTCGGAAGGGGAGGGACTTCGCCTCTCTATGCAGCACTGTATTACTACACTGGACCATGGATTGATAAACTGGACAAGTAGGACAACAATATATTTTTTTTTAATTGGACACTAGACAGGTAGGATAAACATATGTTTTAAATACAAAGGAATTTGGCTGGGTCATTCAAACGGTAGTTTATTAATGGTTCCTAAATTATTATCGTCAACCAATGTTTAACCAGTGTCTCCCCTTCGTTGTAAAGTAAAAATAATGATTGTAACTGTTTGTATCCACCGATTTATACATGACTCTTATTTTGAAATCGGACTGACTTCCGGTGTTGGACGCGCGAGGTTTGATTTTGAAACAGCACACCAGCGCCATGGCTGGCACAACCTAGCTAGCTCTGATACTTTCTGTAAAGCTTTCTTATATGGTGGTTTTATGTTTTGTTGTCAGCATTGTGTCAATAGCCACGTCGAGACATGACAGTCAACACACGCTGACATGGTAGGTAGAAATAACGTTAACTTAAAATATTAATGTAACGTACTTTGACGTCTGGTGTGTTTTTGTGAAAGAGTAACGCTAGCAGTCAATATAAGTTCACCTCAGTGTTTTTTAGACATTGTAACCTAAGTCTAACTTAAGTCAACGCTACAATATCGACATCTATTATCAGTCCTAAGTACTGGCATTGACGTAAGATAGCTGAATAGCAGCTAATGCAAAGCTGGCCGTGCTCAGACTGTAGAATACATCTCATAATTCAGTAGATGAGTAAGAAGTTCTCAGATATTTTACTCTAGTAAAAGTAGAAATACTACTGTGTAGAAATACTATGTTACAAGAAAAAGTCTTGCATTTAAGATCTTACGTAAAAGTACAAAAGTATTGGTATCAAAATATACTTAAAGTACCAAAATGACTTATTGTGCTTAATTACATGTCACTTACATGTCACGCTTAATATCCCAATGTGTTCATCACAGCTGGTAAACGTGGAGATAATTTTCATTACTTTATACACTGCTGCTGGATATTTAAACCTATAATTGTCTATTGTTTATTTCTTAGTTCATTTATATTTAGTATTAGCAAATAATCTGAATCTAGATAGTAACTAATATTGTCAAATAAATGCAGTGCAGTAAAGAGCTAAGCAAATTAAACATATTTGCTTCCAAACTGCAGTGGAGTATAAGTACTGTATAGAGTAGCATAAAATAAAAATGCTCTAGGAAAGTACCCGGAAATCATACACCAGCTTAAAGCTCGCTAAGGTTCACTTCGATGTTTGATGAAGTTGCTGTTTTTTAACTTCTGTCATGATTCAATCTTTGTTTTTCTCAGTGCCACATGACAAACTTTAGGAATCACATAAATCAACTGGAATGGAGTTAACGTTACCCTCTAAACACATTTACGACACATACAAAGATGAAATCTGGAAAGGTAAGACAATAGTAGACGTTGCCTTTTTTATCAAAATGACACTTGAAAATATTAGGCTTTTTTTTGTGCAATTACAAAAGACAAACATAATGTTATTTATATTGGAGGTTGTGAACACTATTTCTATCATATAAACTATTTCTAATTTCTCAATCTAGAGCTGGGCCCTCTGGACCCCGATTGGTTTGAGTCCCTGGCAGCTCAAACGTTCACCAACGAGGGACATTTTTATGATCAAGATGACCTGTGTGCCAATCAAGAAGGAAACTTTAAAACACCTTTGGACAAAAGTGCAGTAGAGAGTCAGCTGTTTTCAACCCCAAAAGCTTTCAGACGCATTCGAGTTGTGTCACCTGAAACTGGGGATGACCATTCTTTCACCGGTGAACAAGGTAATGTCTGAAAAAAGATGATGTATGCATGAATCTAAATGTATAGCATATTCCGTTAGCTCATACAGGATGTCCGTGCATATCATGTTAAATGAGTTGTTGTTAATTGTTGTTACCTACTCATGACTGCATGATACACTTTCTTGATGTTTTATCTTAAAAATAATTCCTTGTATTTCCTAGAAAGAGAAACATTGCCATGGACGACAACACAAAGTCCTTGTTTGTTTCAGATGTCAAAGTGGTGGGTGCAATAATTTCTGCTTGCTATATGGTTTTAAGAAGTATATGTTTAATATATTCCAAATGGCAAAGTCATTATTTTAATGTGTGTAGGCATTCTAAATAGTGCTATTTTAAAGATCATTTTGTTACTTTTATTGTCACAGCTGTTGGCAGTTTTTGATTTCTATGTGTTCTTTATAGGGACCCAGGTGCTAGAAATGGAAGATACCAGAGATTTGGTGAGCTACAAATGTCTCTGTATTTCATCCGTTTTAATTACATTTGAAAAAAAGATTGAATCATCACTGATAATTGTTTTGCTTTTGCCATCTGTACAGATCCACTTCATACCCCACACGAATCCCCAGTACGTGTAATGCTTCTAACACTGATGTTAACTGTCATTCAGCAAATGTAACTACATGAATGTGGCATTATGGAATACATTAGGCTTTCCCCTATTTATACTATTTTCTGAATGTTACAGGTCAGCTACAGCAAGCATATATCTGAAGGTCTCAGAGTACAGATTCATTCTGATATTTTATGGACCAGTTCTCTGAATACCCCACCAGCAGAAGCATCCACCCTCATTTTAAGTAAGCAAATTACTCAATTGTTTGTCTAAAATATAACAAATAAATGTATTTGTTTGTTAACTAATCATTGTCTTCTCAATGTTATAGCAAAAGCTGACGAGAGTCCCTGTCCAGTAGGTGTTTCTGCAGAACAAGATGTGGTTGTGAGTACTCCGTGCAGCCCCAACAGGCCAAGATATCTCTCCAAGCCTTCTTACATAATTTTCACGTTATCATCTATAAAAGACAGAATTCTGTTTATTGACATAACGTCATTTGAGGAATCAAGAGGAAGAAAATGGCAGAAGATTTGCACATTTAATTTATATTTATTTAAAGGATTGCTATCCAGCTCTCACTTAAAAGTTTAGACAAGAGATTGCAGGTGTGGCATTTGAAATGGCTTCTAAATCTCTGTTTTTATATCTTGTTTTTCTTAGTTTGTACGGAAGCTTTTCCCTTCTCTTTCAAATCTATCTAAAGTTGAAGTGGTGTCACCCAAAAACAATGGTATACCTTCCGTTGCTCAAGGTACTGTGATTTCCTTTACATCTTGCATCCAAGATGGTACACTATCTATCAATAACATGACTATGAATGGCAACAGATATTACATTAGATGCATAATGATGGCTGCTTTATTATCAACAGGTGTTGTTTCTCCTGTGGCTGGTCTGGATCCAGAGTCCCACCACTCCCCTCAGAGTTCACTGAATCTAAGTGACAGTGGTTGGAAACAGAAGCTACCAGATGCTATTGAGGATGGAGATATTCGCAAAACAGAAGCAAGTGTTCTTAATGGAGCTGAACATGTTCTCTCTATATTTTTCAGTAACAGTAGTTCAGCACTGAGAAAAGTCAAATCGGAAAGAATCAAAAGAAAGCAAATCATTCCAACCAGAGAACATGGCTGCTGCTCTACAGACATCTCATCAACAAACGATAAACAGAGAACAGCTGATCAGGAACCTGGCAGACTTCCTTCATCACCACCTGTAAAAACTGGAGATGTTGGAATTACCCAGTGGTCTCCGTTGAGTTTATCTGAAATTCCACCTTCTACTGTGGAGGCTTCTTGCTATGATAGTACTCCCGCTACGCAAGTGGGAAACATTATTTTAACAGAAGAACTGCGGAGTCATTCTGGCCAGCTAGTCAGGCCTTTGTTGAAACTTACAGACTCTGGATTTACTAAGAAAAAGAGGACATTTATTTACACTGTTGGGACTTCAAAACCACAAGTTCACGGAGAAGGAAAACGGACTCAGAAGATTGACTCATCCCCAGTGATTCCAGATTATGGTAACACATTTCTCATGTATTAATAGTGCCACAAAATATATTCTCTAAAAACAAAACAAATATGTATTCTATAATGAATACATTTTTATGTTTTAATCATAATGTTTTCATTTCAGGAAACAAAGTAAATGTGACACAGTCGGGGAAATCCCAAGATGAAGCATACTATTGCAGCATGGGAAAGAATGAGATGCAAAAATGGGGAAATCTCGCTGAAGATATTCTTCCTCCCTCTGTACAAGCAAAAGTCCAGGATCTTGACATGTCGCAGCTTTGCAAAGAATTTGCACAAGACTTCAGTCAATCGTCAGACCCCCGTAAACTGAGTAAAGTAGCAGAGGATACTCCTGGAAATGGCTTCTCTCCATCAGCTTGTCTGTCAGCTGTGAAACGAGCTAAACAGAAAGCAATACAAGCAAAACTTCACCATGACTGTGATGGTGACAGTGACAGTGGATTCCAGTATACAGATTTCACTCGCATTACTGCATCATCATTTGTTCATCCTAGCTCAGAGATTAATGATCAAAGTAAACCGATGCCTGGTTTTACATCTGATATCGGCAAGATCCCTCCTTTCACATCTACAAATAAAGGAAATGACAAGGATGTTTTACAAGAAACTGAAATGGATGCCAAGCTGTCCAGTGCAACCAAGGAAAGCCAGACACTGGTTCCTGGCAGAGCAATTAAGTTGCACACAGAGAGTACATCAGCACAACTACCCAGCGGGGCAAAAGGAACTGAGGATATCACTTATGGCATTCCCTTTAATGGTCAAGCTTGTAGCAGTCTGCCAGAGAAAACCACAGTTTCTCTTCCTTCCGTGCATGCATCAGGATTTAAAACATCTTCAAATAAAGGGATACACATTTCCTTAGCCAACCTACAGAGAGCCAAGCATCTATTTGAAGAAACTGAGGGGGAAAAAACGCAATGTGACCAGCCCAGCAAGTGTGTCCTTGACAATAAGAAAGAAATGAGTTGTGGATCAGTGAAAAATCCAACCACCAACTCAAACAACCCAACTTCTTCAAGTGAAACAAAAGAGGATATCAGTTGCCAGTTAACAGCTTCACAAAAAGCTGATGTGACTGAGCTTTGCACTCTCTTGGAAGAAGCAGATAGCCAGTTTGAATTTACACAGTTTAAAACTGCAAAGGTGAAACAACACAGTCAAGATAAAACTACCTCTCCCAAAAAAGTTGAGAAAGAATTTGACCCTGATTCACTTTCAGGTATAGATTTTGATGACAGTTTTAGTTCAGAAGAAAAGCATCTGGCGGTAACAGTAATGTATGAAAAAAGGGACTTAGTTCCAGATAGTAAAACAAATGGTTATACACCCAACATTACAAGTAAATCCACAGGTCTTTTATTGTCCAGTGCAATCAAAAATGAAAACTCCTCGACTGAAGTTGCGTCTACCACTAAAGGCCCAAGGCTTATTCTTTCAACTGATCACAAAACCCTTGACAGAGCCCTGCTCACGGACACAAGCAAGCTGGAGAACAACAACCCTTTACTTGGTGTGGGATTTAAGACTGCAGGAGGAAACAATTTGAAAGTTTCAAAAAAGTGTTTGAGCAAAGCTAGGGCTTTGTTTGCAGATTTAGAGGAGAATCTTGTGACAAGTCAAACCTCACCAGACAAGCTGAGACGGGATCCTAGGACACAGCACAAGACTACTGTGGACAATCGCAAGGATTCATCTTTGCATGATAAGTTGAAGGAGTCTGTCTGTTCAGAAAAACTGGTCACAAGCATAAGAGATGAAAATGCTGCACAAAGTTTTGAAAACATCAAGATGGACACCACGTCTCAACGTGGGTTCCAAATGGCCTGTGGGAAAGGGATTACTATCACAGCAAAAGCTAGGAGTCAGCAGGAGGCAGATGTTTTCTTCGAAGACACTATGGACTTTAATGATGGCCTATCAGTAAAACATCAGAAGAGCACTGTACCGTTGCCTGGAAGTGTCAGTCATAACGAGACCCTTCTAAATTGTAAAGGGATAAAAGTAACTGTTCCTGAAGAACTGATCAATAACCCTGAGCATGTGAATGCTGGACCAGCTGCACCCCATACAGATGTACAACAAAATGTAAAGATTCTAAATGTTGGTTTTAAGAACGCACCGTCTTTTGGAGATTATGCCCCTTTCCATGAAAACCCTTCGACTGCAAAGGCACTTTCATCTCTTTCATGCACAACATCTACGAGTACTGGCTCCTCTGCCATCAATAAATCCAGCAACGATGTTGGATTTTTTACAGCCAGTGGAAAGAAGGTATCTATGTCAGCTGATGCACTGAAAAAAGCAGAGTCCCTTTTGAATGAAATGAATCCTCTTGAGGACGCAAACCAACAACTGAAACAACAAGGAGATGCTTTAAGAACAGGTCATCTCACCAACAATCATATTCAGGTTACAGCCCCTAAAAATTGTGGATTTCAGACAGCCAGTGGCAAAGGAGTGGCCATTTCATCTACAGCTCTCAAGAAAGCAAAAATGTTGTTGAGTGAATGTGATGAAGTTGTAGATGAAATCAATGTGACACCAGCACGTTCAACGATGCCAGTTCCTGGTCCACAACTTGGGAAGAGTGGATTTCCTGCAGGCGGCAGTAAGCCAGTGGCATTTTCTTATGAGGCCATCCAGAAGGCAAAAGCTCTCTTCAGTGACGTCAGTTTCAGTACAGAGATCCCAGCTGTTTCAGACACCATGAATAGAGAAAATAAACAAGGCAATGCTGAAAATACAAAAGAAATGCATTGTGGTTTTACAACTGCAGGGGGAGCTAAAGTCCATGTTTCACATACAAATCTATTAAAAGCAAAACACCTCTTGACAGAATTTAATGATGGTCCTATTTCAACAAGAGCAATGCAAGAGGCAGATACTTTATTCAAGGACTGTGACTTTATGAATAGAAACAATGGCAGGCCAGTAAAACAAAAGAGAAGTATAGAACCTGTGAGTGGAAGCAGCAGCAAGAAGAAAAACCTTTCACATTTTAAACAAGATGAAAAAATGACCATAAACATTTCTGAAGAACCTAGAATTCAAAATCTGCCATTAGTTGTGAACCATGAAAAGATGCAACATCCTCATGATGTTGAGACTCACAAAGACGATTTTAAGAAAACACTGGATTCTATCGAAGTTGCTTCTTTACATGGAAACCCATCTTTGATGTCAAAGCCGCTTTCTCCTGCATTGTGCACAACTTCAAAGAACATTAGTTCCTCTGCAGTCAATGGATTGGGCAAAGGTGGTGGATTCTGTACAGCCAGTGGCAAAAAAGTATCCGTGTCTGATAGCTCGATGACAAAAGCGAAGTCTCTTTTCAACGAAAGTGCTATATTTGAGGACACAAACAAACAGAAAGAAGGAACTTTTCTACCAATGAACGGTGGATTTCAGACAGCCAGTGGCAAAGGGGTTACCATTTCATCTTCAGCACTAAAGAAGGCAACAACTCTGTTAAGTGACTGTGAAGGAGTTGAGGATACACCAGAACATTGCAAGCCTCCAGTTCCTTGGCCGCCACCCAGGAGTAATGGATTTCTTGCAGCCAGTGGTAAGTCAGTGGCATTTTCTTCTGAGGCCCTCCAGAAGGCAAGGGCTCTCTTCAGTGACATCAGTTTCAGTACAGAGATCCCAGCTGTTTCAGACACAAGGAACAGTGATAAGCAACAAGGCCATGATGAAAAACCAGAGAAAATTCATTGTGGTTTTACAACTGCAGGGGGAACAAAAGTCAATGTGTCACGGAAAAATCTATTGAAAGCCCAAAACCTTTTAGCAGAAGAAGCTGATGGGAAGTGTCATTCTTCAAACTCATACTCGACATGCCCTCAGGACACTAATAAACCAGATCCATCAAAGGTTATTGATGTGAAACAAACATGTAAGCCTTCAACAGACAGTGGCAAGGACATGCCTACTGGGTTTTGTGGCCCGCTGGTATTCAAATCCTCAACCTCTTTGCAAAATCCTGAGCAAGAAAATGAATCTCTTCGAAATCCAAGTCTACCTGATTGCATTTCTTTTCAAGACGAGGCACATACAGATACATTTCAGTTAAAAGGCACAACTAGCCCAGCATCGGCTGGCAACCTCCATGACAGCCCTGAAGAGGAAATGTCCATTGGTTTGGACTATGAAACAAATCGGACAAGTAACAGCAAGGGATGTATGGTCAAAAGGCCACAAGAGTCTTCTGTTTTAAATGCTCAGTCACTTCACCTAAGTGGCTGCACTGAAACCCAGCAGAAGTTTTTCGCCCAGGAAGCTCTGGACTGCACTAAAGCTTTGTTAGATGATGAAAGTCTAGCTGGCCAAAGTCTCTCAATGACTTTAGAAAACATGCCACTGCAAGAAAACCCAAAATCCAGCTTCAGATCTGCAGAGCGAAAAGGAACAGGGAAAAGATCAGTAGAGGACTCAGATATAGCTGGTAAGTGTTTTAGTTGTTTTAGATGATGCAACTTTGAAGTATTGACTATTTATTCTTAATTTGATACATAAAATACATTGTTCCCATATTGCAAAATATCCATTATTTATAAATTATGACTTCCTAACTAAATGCTAGTAGATTGCAAACATTAATCTGTGACTATATGTCACAAAAATGACTATTTTACATAAAAGGTTGCCATGCTGTTTTGAATATTCTAGGTCAGCCTCCCCTGAAAAGGCGATTACTGGAAGAATTCGACAGGACTGTTGATGATCCCAAAGGTTCAACACTCTGTCCGGAGACAAGTTGTCCAAAAGGTAAACCAGTAGCACTGTAACAAGTTATCTTTTTTTAACTTAAAGGTATCAACCAGAAATTTCTCCAGTTAATTACTTACAATAAGGCAATTGTCTTTTGTATTACAAGTTTCTGAAATAGCATGTTTAAATATGCAAATTACCCATTATCTCATTAAATATGCACATATTTTAACACATTTCAGGAATCGAAATCTGAACTTTGGATAAAGCCAGGTTCAACATTCTTGTTTCATTTTGTAGTCATATTAGCATCTATTTCTTTTACAGAAGGGATATTGGATATCTCTTTTTATCATTCTATAAATCAGAAAATACTGTCAACAGCCCTAAAATATCAATTTTCGCCATGTTTTTAGGTATACAATGTTGTATAATTCAGGCTATGAATGATCTATGAACAAACCCTTCTGTAAAAGCCTTCATAATATTGATAGGAATATAACTGGAAGGTTTGGTGTATCTACGTGCTACTGAAGTTGAAATTTCGAACTCAGAGTAGGAGAAAAAACTCATTTTGAGAAAACTACCTTTAAAGATTGCAGTGAGGCGCTAGCTAAACCCTCCTGTTCTTTGGATGACAGCTTGCGCATCGACGCACTCCGTGAAGGTATTTCATGTTCGGGGTCATTTGTTTTTTGTATAACCTTGCTTCGTGCAAGTGACAATTGTTGTCGTCTTCTCTGTGAAAGTTTTTTTCGCTGTTCTTTTGCCATTTTGAGATTTCAATTTCTAGCGGAAAGCTAACCAGTAAGTGTTTTAGAACACCACGTGACGCATCTGAACGAATCACGTGGTCAGAAATTGACACCAGCCAATGAGATTTCGTTTCTTGGTTTAAGACCCCTTTGTGCTTTCACGATTGGTTGCTGATACAAAGGAAATGACCATATTTGGATCTGATGAGATCATTGTGCAGGAGAGACACAGCTTTCCAACGATATCTCTGTTGACATGGTGCAAACAACGGTCGCGGTACTTTATGTTACGTTAGAATGCTAACTTTTGGTGAATTTAGGAGAAATCTACAGATGCAAATAGACAAACTATAGTAAAATAGACACTTATGTGTATTTTGTACGTTTTCCTTCCAAAAGCCTGAAAGAAAACATGTTATAGAATCAAAATAGCACAAAATCTCAAAATTGACCAGTACTTGAAAAACAATGTTTTTGCCTGCCGTGTCTCGTCAAGAATACATATTTTGTCTTGTATATTAACTCTTGGTTTTATTTTGTAGGTGTAATGAAAGACCGAAGGGTTTTTAAATACAGCGTCTCTCTCCATCCAAACATTACAAAGCCACCTGGGTAAGTTGCCTTTTAAATTGTTTGTCCATGTTTTCAAGCAGCTGAAAAAAAGTAGTCGACTTTTTGTAATGTATATTTTGTCTTTCGGAAGTGGAAAAAACGATATTGAAACCAGATTGCAAAAGATGACACCAACACAGCCATCAATCCCAGGAGACAGCAGATCATCACATCCCAAGATGCCAGCGTTTGTTCCTCCATTCCTCAGGAATGCAAAGACAGAGAGTCACAAGAATGGAGTGCTCAAGGTCAACCAAGGAACACCTTCTGCATTTGTTCCTCCATTCAAAAAACAAAGAACTATTGTCCAAGAGAGCTCCTCTAAACCACAAGAGGAGGAAGATAATAACCTCCATCTCTTTGTAACGCCCTTCTGCAGCAACACTTTTGTGCCAACCGCTAAAAAAACACAGAGCACTACAGATGTAACTGGTAATAAAAGCAAAGAAGACATTCAGACGGTGTCCTTGGCTGGCACTACAAATATAAGTCTTAATGGTCAAAACGTTGCTGTGGGCTGTGGATCAGAGGACTCTTCTGCCGAGGCGTCACAAGTGGAAGATATATTGTCCCCAAGCCAAGGTGCAGTAGATGATGAATTATTAATGTCAACATGATTAACTGTACTTAAATCTACATAACATGGGTCAATGTTTTTTTTTTGGTCTACAGACATATTTCAGAATTTTCCTAATGTTGAGCTGGCACGAGATGTGCAAGATATGAGGATCAGGAAAAAGAAGCGCCAGACCATTCGACCTTTGCCGGGAAGTTTGTTTCTTACCAAAACCTCAGGGGGGTCGAGAATACCGTTAAAAGCTGCAGTAAATGGAAAGCCTCCTGCAATATACACCCAAAAGCAGGCAAGGCCAGAAGTGTTTTGTAAAAGGATTTTGTTGTTTTTGTTTATAAATGAGATCACTTCCATGTAAACAGCAATTTGACTTGTTCTTGTTTTTCAGCTGTATGGACATGGAGTTCATCAGCACGTGTGTGAGATCACCAGTGAGACTGCAGAATCCTTCCGCTTCAATTTACAGCAGTTCATCAGACGGGAAGCATTAATAGAAGGAGGTGGTGTGCAGCTTGCGGATGGAGGATGGCTAGTCCCCAGCAAGGACGGGACTGCAGGGAAAGAAGAGTTTTATAGGTATTATTGAACTTTAGTTTAAATCAAAGTTGAACATATTTTTGGAGAAACAAGGTGTGTTTTGGAATTTGCAATAAAGCCTGAATATCCTCTTGCTCTGCACTGTCCACAGAGCGTTATGTGACACACCTGGTGTTGATCCTAAACTAATGAGTGAGGCGTGGGCGTACAATCACTACCGATGGATTGTGTGGAAGCAAGCCTCCATGGAAAGATCATTTCCAGAATCAATGGGCAGTCTCTGTCTCACTCCAGAGCAGCTTCTCCTTCAACTGAAGTACAGGTGGGATTCTGTTCAATGTTCTTCTTTAGTTTATGTTATTTAGATGTGCGCTTAGTAAGATATCCAAGCATATTAATGCGAAATGTGGAAAAATATGACACCTAAATTACTAAGACGGCTTAATTATTTATCACCTACTTCTGTTTTGTGTCAGATTTAAAGACTCCATTTATTTAGCTTTATAAATAAATAAGCAAAAAGAGATGAGCAGAATTGTTTTCCTACCACATTTAATTAAATACACAAAGGATAATTTGTTGATATTAATTAAATGTTTACATTTAACATGTATTACATTTGTGTTGCCTGTTATGAATTGTTATGTGTATCAGATATGATGTAGAGGTGGACCACAGCCGCAGACCGGCTCTGAGAAAGATCATGGAAAAGGACGACACATCAGCCAAAACCCTGGTCCTGTGTGTGTGCGGGGTCGTCTCCAGGGGCCACTCCACAAACCGACAGAGTTTCAGTGACACCAAGACTCCTCCAGATGCTGAAGCCAAGGTTGAAAACCCATCTGCAGTTGTGTGGCTGACAGATGGATGGTACGCCATTAAAGCCCAGCTGGATGAACCTTTGACTGCCATGCTCCACAAAGGTCGAGTGGCTGTGGGGGGGAAGCTGATCATCCACGGGGCTCAGCTGGTGGGATCACAGGATGCTTGCTCTCCTCTGGAGGCACCTGAATCTCTCATGTTAAAGGTACTTCAAGAGGGGGGCCAAACGCTATTCTATCTCCACAAGGATGCCAAATAACAAGCATTTGGATAATTAATTGTTTTTGTGTTTAGATATGTGCCAACAGCAGCCGTCCCGCACGATGGGATACTAAACTGGGATTTCACAAGGATCCACGGCCATTCCTGCTTCCTATCTCCAGTTTGTACAGCAATGGAGGACCGGTAGGATGTGTGGACATTATTATCCTGAGAAGCTACCCCATACAGGTGCGTGTGGTCTTGCATTGATATATTGTTTCTGTTATTTCTGGAAGTTATGTTATATGCTTTTGACTGTATGCAAATTCTTCCAGTGGATGGAGAGGAAAACAGATGGAGGGGCTGTGTTTCGCTCTGTTCGTGCAGAAGAGAAGGAGGCGAGGCAACACGACAGCAACAAACAAAAAGCTATGGAGATCCTGTTTGCTAAGATTCAAGCTGAATTTGAAAAGGAGGACAAAGGTAGGAATCATGTTTCCAGCATGTTATGGACAGGTTAAAATGGAAAAGGTTTTGTTGTAGAGCATGTGTCCCATGTCTGAGTACTCTCTGCATCCAATCTCTCTCTCACCACTTCTCCTGTCTGTCTTCAGCTCTACTTGTTAAGGCAGGAAAAGCCTAACAAATATAAAATTGTCCTCCACAGGTAATAGCAGACCTCAGCGTAGAAGACGGACAATCAGTCGTCAAATTATTGCAGGTCTTCAAGATGGAGAGGAGCTGTATGAAGCAGTGGGGGATGACCCAGCGTATCTGGAGGTGATAAGACATTTACTTAACATATCATTAAAATAATTTCTGTCATGAATAGAGATTGACTTTCTCTCTTATTTCACATGCATGTCCAGGCTCAATTGAGTGAACAGCAGTTGGAGACTCTACGTAGCTACAGATGTTCTCTGATGGAAAAGAAGCAGGCTGACCTGCAGGATCGCTTCAGACAAGCTTTAGAAAATGCAGAGGAGAGCGAAGGTAGCTGTCCCAAGAGAGACGTCACTCCTGTGTGGAGGCTCTGCCTCGCGGACCTCATGGACCAACCTGGCAGGGGTGTGTCTTCATTCTTTCTCAGTTTAAATGTACACTGGTTGCTTTAATGTATTTACTACTGTTTTCTTATACTAATGTTTTTGTGTTTTGTAGTCTACCAGCTGAACTTTTGGCGACCTTCCTCGGATCTTCAGTCTTTACTGAAGGAAGGCAGTCGATACAAAGTCTATAATGTCACCACTTCAGACAGAAAGAAACATGTTGGTAACACAACTGTTCAGCTGACTGGGACAAAGAAAACACAGTTTCAGGACCTCCCGGTAGGCTACTGTAGAGTGTATCAGTGGGTATATGGACTTCTAGATGAAGTATTTATAAAGTCAGATAGATGATGGAAATAACTAATATGACCTAATATTTGTTGTATCATTCAGGTCTCTCAGGAATGGTTATCAACACATTTTCAACCGAGAGTCTCTACCCATTTTGTGGATCTTCAAAACACAGAACTGCAGCCGCAGTGTGGAGAAGTTGATCTCACAGGATATGTCATCAGCATCGTAGATGGACAGGGTAGGTGAATTATTATTTCTTTACTGTTCCTGATGTACAGTGCCTTGCAAAAGTATTCTCCCCCCTTGGCATTTTTCTTGTTTCATTGCTTTAAAACATTTAATTTAATTAGATTTTTGGAGAGTTTGTATTATTTGATATACACAATATGCAATATGTAACTTTGAAGATGCAAAACATTTTTTTATTGTCAAACAAACAAGAAATAATAATGAAAAAGAGAAAACACGAGCGTGCATAACTATTCACCCCCCCAAAGTCAATACTTTGTAGGGCCACCTTTTGCAGCAATAACAGCTGCAAGTCTCTTGGGGTATGTGTCTATAAGCTTGGCACATCTTTCCCCTGAGATTTGCTTCCATTCTTCTTGCCAAAACTGCCCAGCTCCTTTAGGTTAGATGGGTTCCGCTCGTGTACAGCCATCTTTAGGTCATTCCACAGATTTTCGATTGGATTAAGGTCTGGGCTTTGACTAGGCCACTCCAAAACGTTTACATGTTTCCCCTTAAACCACTCTAGCGTTGCTTTAGCAGTATGCTTTGGGTCATTGTCCTGCTGGAAGGTGAACCTCTGCCCACGCCTCAAATCTCTGGCAGACTGAAACACAGTTTCCTCAAGTAGTTCCCTGTAATTAGCTCCATCCATCACTCTTTCTATTAAACCAGCTTCCCAGTCCCTGCCGATGAAAACATCCCCACAACATGATGCTGCCACCACCTTGCTTCACTGTGGGGATGGTGTTCTGAGGGGGATCAGAGGTGTTGGGTTTGCGCCAGACATAGCGTTTACCTTGATGGCCAAAAAGTTCAATTTTAGTCTCATCCGACCACAGGACCTTCTTCCACATGTTTGGGGAATCTTCCACATGCCTTTTGGCAAACTCCAAACATGTTTTCTTATTTTTTTTGCTGTGGTCCTATGTACAGATTCTCCTCTCTCTGCTGTGGAGCTTACCAGCTCCTTCTGGGTTATCCTCGGCCTCTTTGTTGCCTCTGATCAATGCTCTCCTTGCACGGTGTGAGAGTTTTGGTGGGCGGCCTTCTCTTGGCAGGTTTGTTGTCGTGGCATATTTTTTCCATTTTACAATAATGGATTTAATTGTGCTTCGTGATGTTCAAAGTTTGTGAGATTTTTTTATAACCCAACCCTGTCTCATACTTTTCCACAACTTTGTCCCTGACCTGTTTGGAGAGCTCTTTAGTCTTCATGGTGTCGTTTTCTTGCTTAGAAAGGCCACTTGCTGTGGTATGGAAGACGGAGGCCTTCTACAACAGTTGTTGTATAATAATAATTAATTAATATAATAATTAGAGATAATGAGGCACTTGATTGCACACTATTATTTAAATATTTAAATAATTGTGTGACTCTGAAGGTCTTTGTTTGGGCTAAATAGCAAAGGGGGTGAATACATATGCACACACCACTTTTCAGTTTTACATTTTTTCTTTCTGTTTTAAAACTTACTCTTTTTTTCTTTCACTTCACCAATTTTGACTGACTTTGTGTGGGGTCTTGCCATAAAATCCCCCCAAAAATATTATATTATTTTTGGTTTTAATACAAGAAAATAGGAAAAATGGCAAGGGGGGTGAATACTTTCGCAAGGCACTGTAACTCCTTTCTAAATAAAATGATTGTTTGTGCTTTTGAACACAGGTTTCTCTCCGGCATTTTATCTGACTGATGGGGAAATGAACTTTATCAAAGTGCGCTGTTTCAGCAGCTTTGCTCAGTCTGGCTTGGAAGATTTGGTAAAGCCAAATGTTCTGTTGGCTCTGAGCAACCTGCAGCTGAGAGGTCAGTCCACATCTCCCACGCCTGTTGTGTACGCTGGAGATCTGACCGTCTTTTCCACAAACCCCAAAGAGGTTCATCTGCAGAAATCTCTCTGCCAACTCAGAAAACTGGCCCAGGTACAGTGCTAAATCCTCAGACCTATGAAGCCGCTGAAATGTGTCCAAAACTGTGTTTGCCTTTTTCTCAATTAAGAATCCTTGTGTGCTGAATGCTGGATGCTCTCACAGCCAAAGTGTCTGATGCTTTGACGAAATCACTAATGCATTAGCTATCATTGAATTAAGCTGCAGGTGATGGTTGATGAAAATGGAAATGCTAAATAGGAATAGCGATGTTTCTCAAATATCAAGTAATGTTTGTCATACTTACTTAACCTCTAAAAGACATTGTACTGTAACAGTATTTGAAATCCATTTGTTGAAAATGTTAGAAAACTGAAAATGTTTATCCAATGTGGCCTCCAGTGGCGTTTCTATATGTACAAAAGTGGTGGGGCACAAAAAACTTAGATGTCTATATATAAGCTTCTGCAGTGAGGTTCATGGCTGGTGAGGCACTGGCACTGACTCTTCAGGTTTACAAATATTATATTTTGACCTAAATCAAAATATAATATTATTTTCAAAAGCCTCTTTAGTCTGATGCTTCGATTAATTTTAAACAGACAGTTCAACAAAAGGATACCCAAAAAATTAAATTGTATCATTTAAATATTGAATTGTTCTCTCTTAGTAAGATCCCATTTTCAATAAAATTGTGGTCTTACCTTGACTTGAAGATGAAGTCCATTTGCCTATCCTTCTGGACAAAAATCTCTATTACTTTTTTGTAAAAGTCCTCCTTATCTTCTTGTAGTTTCAAAAGTCTATCATAAATCTAAATGATGGATTTATGATTCAAAAATTATAAAAGTAGGATAGACATGTGAATATTATCCGGCTGAACAAAACGTGCATTTATCTAACAGGTACGTTTCCCACAGATCTTATTTTGAGCTATTTTCTATAATCCTATGGAGAAATATCATTGCTTTTTTGTGGAGGGAAGCCATGCGCAGCTTACTTCCTGGTTTTAGGACGCGTCTCTCTCCTCCTCTTCACCTGCTCTTCACACACCACACTTTTCGCGGCACACGTTACTTACAGCCAATCAGCTCTGAATTATGTGAGATGACGTATGGTGGGGATGGCAGCTCTATGCCCCTATGGTCATTATTTTTTGCCACACACATTAAATAGGAAAATATTCTGAGCATGCGCAGTGTAGTTTTTACAGTCACCGTTCACTTAGACAGTGAGAGGGAGGGGCAGGATCAGGTTTTGTCCCACATGGCTCTAAATAGCTCAATAGGCACACACTGTAGACACTAATTAGAAGAACACAGACTAAAACAGCAATGTACAGACAAATCAGATGATTAAACATGATCTTAAAATATATTTTATATATATTTTAATTTCTTTTTTGCATTTTGTTGTAATTATTATTTTAATACTTTCTGCTGACACTAGGTGGGGCTGTGCCCCACCTGCCCCTAATGACCAGTCGCCACTGGTGGCCTCTCATATTGACCTCTAACAAGTATTGTATACATTGTTTTCATTTTAAACTTCAAAAGAAACACTCGATACACTTGATTATTCTTTAAACACACAGGTGCATGCTTATGATCAGATAATAATTGTTTTGGTAATCTTTTCCCTGACCTTAACCACATAGTATGTTTACCTTACTTTTCTCCATGTCCTTGGTTTTTGATACATACATGTTTTGTTAAATTAAAAAATTATGAATTAAAATGGTCCATCTTGTGTTTTCAGGGTCAGGATAGCTTCTTTACAATTGCTGAGGAGAAGCTTTCACATTTAGGGAAATCTGATGGCACGAGTTCCTTCTCTTCTCCAGCTCTGCAAACACGAAACACAGCTTTCACAACAGTCAGAAGACTGGACACATACACAAGTGTGAGTTCATGTCCTTGCTGTTTGGTTAATTTGCTCTCATAATAACTTATATATATTGATCAAATAATGTGTCCTTTTTATGCAGGTGACATCTCAGCAGCCAGTCCGAAGCCTTGGATCCTTCACACCTGTCAGCAGGAAGCCTCCTGCAGCAAACTGCTCCACAGAGAAAGACCCCAACAGCCTGAAGAAGAGGAGAGCTCTGGACTATCTGTCTCGTATCCCGTCCCCCCCACCTCTTTCCCCGTTTGGCCCAGTGGCTTCTCCATGTGTAAATACGACATTCAACCCCCCTCGGAGGTCTGGGACTGGGACACCTAGCACTTTAAAAACTGTACAGACTCCAGCTCAGACACCTGTTGAAACTCCAGTGGAGGATGAGTGGGTGAATGACGAGGAACTAGCTATGATTGACACTCAGGACTTACATGTTGCTGATCTACTGTAGGTACACAGGCACCACTTTTAAAAGAATACAAAAACTGTACAAATTACTGATTTTAAAGGCTTATGGCGACATAATGCTCATATTCTGGGGTTGTTGTTGTTGACTAACTGGAGACATTAAAGAGAAGAAGTCTCTTCAGATTACTAAAATCACTTCATCCTGATCTTAATGCTTCAGTGCACTTTTATTATATAAAGTTAAAAAGTACATTCCTGTAGTTCGGGTCCATGATTCCCTGTTTCAAACTGTTTGAGGATAATTAAAGTAGGGCTGACTTTATGCAAGTACATTCTATGATAAAAATACATATTTCTATAAAGGTAAATGCAATATTAAACACATTAACAATCATATGTGTTATTTTACAGTGGTTAAATTGCCTAAAAATGCCTGTGTCCACTGTGACAAATGTATCAAAAAGTGCAAAAATGTTTCTTGTTTGTATCAGTCCCAACAAATTTAAATAACAAATACTCACTTTATAAAAAGGTAGATATACAAATCTAAAATATATGATTATTGTAAAGCTTGAACAAAAACATTGATTATAATTGCGTCTATACTTCCAGACATATTTAGTTTTGAAAGGATCCCCATGTTATATTCTGCATAAGATAATTACAATGGCCATCTTTGAGTGATGACCTTTAGCTGTGTCACACTCAGGGGCCCCGTCTCAGGTCGGTTAAATGAAATCCTTGCTTCCCTCACTTCCGTCGTTTCCCTGCGTTTAGTCCCTCCCACCAGGGAAGCATGGAGGGACGCAAGGAAACCACGAGAAGCAGGGAAATGAGTTTTAAGAGCAATGGGACGTCCTTTCCTCCGGAGCGTCACGTGAAGCGACGTCCGTTTGTGATGACGCTGCACAGCTGATCGTCTGACAGCAGCTCTGTCCCCGTTATTTCCACACACCCCCGCCTCTGTTAGTATATACAGTCTATGGTTAGTACACATTTACTGACACAAACATTTGTATCATCTGTTTTAGACCCAAATAAATAAAATAAAATAAGAACTCATTGTCAAAAAAGATAAACGCCATTCTTAAAATGTATAAACGAACAATAGTTTGATTAATATTGATTAGAGTGCACAATAGAAATAAAATAATTGAGAGAAGAAAAAGAGATATGTTATCTATCAAAACTCAGTTAGATTAACATTCATTGGATTGCACACTTTGTTTGTTTGTTTGGATATGTAGCACATTAACATTTTAATAGCACTTAATGACTGACTGAATGGAAATGACAATAAATGAAAATGTAAAACGAAAAAAGCGATCATGAAAATGTTTCCAAAAAATGAATTAAATGATTTTTGACCACTTTGTTGTTCAGATATATCACATATTTGTAACTAAATGATACATGAATTGAAACAAAACACGGTATAAACTGAGGAGTGACTCCCGTGAGGTTCATGTATTTTCTTCACTCTGCTCTCATGTCAAGAAGCATGAGATCAGTGCATGCACTGCCTCGTCCAATCAGTGAGCGATACACAGTAAGGGGGCGGGGTGAGTATCTGAGGATTTCATCGGAGGATGGTCTGGTGGTTCCTCGGTTATCGCTCCTCGCTCCTCGATCCTCGGTCCTCCGGCAGAAATAAGAGCCATGGGACGGTACTCAAGATGGCGCGGGCAAATCAACTTCCGGTGAGACCGAGGACCGAGGAGCGAGGAAATGAAAATAGTCGACCTGAGAAGCAGCCAGGGCCCTTCTCACTTCGGTTAAATGGATTCCTTGCGTCCCTCACTTGCGTCGTTTCCCTGCGACTAGTCCCTCCCACCAGGGAAGGATGGAGAGATGCATGGGCCCCGTCTCAGGTCGACTATTTTAATTTCCTCGCTCCTCGGTCTCACCGGAAGTTGATTTGTCTGCGCCATCTTGAGTATCGTCCCATGGCTCTTATTTCTGCCGGAGGATCGAGGAGCGATAACCGAGGAACCACCAGACCATCCTCCGATGAAATCCTCAGATACTCGCCCCGCCCCCTTACCGTGTATCGCTCATTGATTGGACGATGCAGTGCATGCGCTGCACTGATCTGATGCTTCTTGACATGAGAGCAGTTTCCCAGCGGAGTGAAGAAAATACATGAAACTCACGAGAGTCACTCCTCAGTTTATACTGTGTTTTGTTTCAATGCATGTATAATTTAGTTACAAATATTTGATCTGAACAACAAAGTGGCCAAAAATCACTTTATTCATTTATTGGAAACATTTTCATGATCGCTTTTTTCGTTTTACATTTTCATTTATTGTCATTTCCATTCAGTCAGTCATTAAGTGCTATTTAAAATGTTAATGTGCTACAGCTGCACAGCTGCTGTCAGACGAACAGCTGTGCGGCGTCATCACAAACGGACGTCGCTTCACGTGACGCTCCGGAGGAAAGGACGTCCCATTGCTCTTAAAACTAATGTCCCTGCTTCTCGTGGTTTCCTTGCGTCCCTCCATGCTTCCCTGGTGGGAGGGACTAGACGCAGGGAATCGACGCAAGTGAGGGAAGCAAGGATTTCATTTAACCGACCTGAGACGGGGCCATGTAAACCACGAGAAGCAGGGAAATGAGTTTTAAGAGCAATGGGACGTCCTTTCCTCCAGAGCGTCTTTTTCCACCTCAAAAACATTGCCCGTCTCCGCCCATCACTCTCCTCCTCTGCTGCTGAAACCCTGATTCATGCATTCATCACTTCACGACTCGACTACTTTTGGCATTCAACTTCTGTTAGACAGCTATATGCCATACATTTTTGCACACATTCACAGTAAATATGTATTCAGTATGATAGCTGTCTAACAGAAGTTAAATTCATTTCTCACTTATTCTGACAAAGTACTTAACCCCAAATAAAAGAACCCCATAAAAAGAGTTGTTAAATAATAGTGAAGTCACGTTGTAATAACAATAACTCATCTCTCTCTCGTTTTATTTTTGGGCTTTGCTAAAAGCCACTGTGTCAAGTGTCCATCTTGGGTTGCCGTCCGGAGTTGTCCAATATGGCGGACCATCTCGCACATGCGCACTGCAGATCGGGTAGTGACAGTGAGAAGGGCCCTCAGTGACTGTATATTACACTCCAGTCCAGCTCGCGGCGCTGTTCCAAGCCCATTAGAGAGGAGAGAATAAGAGTGACGCCACTTCCGTAAACACAAGGCAACACATGCTGTTCTTTTTTTGAAGGTTGTTTTTTTACGTTATTAATGCATCTTGAATGTATATGGTGAGTAAAACGAATAGTAACATTAACTATGTTTAAATAATTGAAGGCCACAGAGTTGTGTTTAAATGTTTCACCGTCTTAACTAGTTCGTGAGTAAAACTAACGGGTGGATTAGTTTCGGTTTTAGCCTAAGTGTACTATCTAATGCTATAATAATGAAAACAACACATTTAAGGTTTTAATATTATGTGTAATGTGTCCCCTGTGTTTTAATCTGTTACCATGCAGATGTCTCATACTGGATCCTCCTGTAGGATCTTTCATGATGTAAAAAAACATTGTGTGGGTCAGCGTGGAAGAACCGGTAAAGATGTCTCTGCTGACAAAAACTCCAAATCTGTGAGCAATCACTCCAACAGTCGAGAGAAAAGTGTGAGGGAGCGTGTGTTAAAGAAGGTAGGGACCACTAGCACCACCTTCATTGGTCCAGCATTTCCTCCTCCAAAAGTCAAGTCCAAAGTCAAGTCTGGCATTGAAGACACACTGAGTGAGTTTTACAAAGAGCTTGAGAAGATCGATACACCTGATGGTGCTAATAATAATCCAGGGAAACAGCATTCTCAAACACCCATTACTCAAACAACATCTACCAGCAGAGGGACTCAGGATACACGTGAGGAAAATGTACTTTATACAAGCAGATATGCAGAAACAGATGGCTGCCACAGAAGCAGTGGGCAGAAACAGCCACCCTGGTCACACTGGTATCAAAATGAGCCATATCCCAGAAGACCAAGGCCACCTGCTCCTTCTCAAAATCAATGGCGTTATCCTCAAACACCGAACAGACCAACAAACCCAGGCTTTCACAGACCTCCATTCCATCGCCCACCACCTCCATCTGCATTCCCAAATCCACAAAACCCACCGCCACACATGGATCAAAGCTGGCGAGGTTCTGGAACGACGAACCAGCCTGAAGATAAGTCCCATGTTCCAACATTTTCCAGCTCAGCACCTTCCAACGTAAGCAGTCACCCCTCTCAGGGCTTTTATGGAGATTCTCTACACCACTTTGACAGGGATGAACAGGGTTTAAAACTTGATGTACACTCTGATAATGTAAATGATGGATGGTCCAGAGAACGAAAAGAAGAATTGCGTCAGTTTGGTGAAGATGATGACCGTCACCAGAGATTTGATTCAGAACATGAACCATGGGCGAGTCACTGCCGACCCCCTGCCAACACGGACACACACCCTCCTCCCTTGGTGCTGATCTTGATGAGGGGATTACCAGGATCTGGGAAATCAACACTTGCCAGGTACGACATTAAGTCTAGACAATTAGTGCATTTGAGTAGAGTCGCCTAATCAATAAGTCGCTCAAGGGAAAAGTAATCAACAATTTGTGGTTGTCAATTTATTCTTTGAATGTTTCTTTTAAAAAAAATCATTAAACCAAATATTTTTGTGGTGACAAAATAAGATATTTAAACACTACCATGGACTTTTTACATTTTACACAATACATCAAAAATAATCTACAGATACATTGATAATGAAAAGTGTTTGTTAAAAGAGTTGAAATCCTAATTTCTAAGACTGGATGTATTACTTTCATTGTACATGTGTCCCATCTTTCTCATAGACAGCTGCTCTCCACTGGTCCCAGTGGGCTGATACTGAGCACAGACGACTTCTTTGCTCACAGAGAGGGGTACAACTATGAAGCACGTCTTCTTGGGGAAGCACATGACTGGAACCACAACAGAAGTATGTTTTGTGTAAAATCTCATTGCGTCATCACAAAGGCTTTTCTGTCAAACTTCAATCAGGACAGTCTTTGCTGTGTGAGAGTGTTTTCAGGCACATATGAAGTTTAGTTATATTGGTCCTTGGTTTAAGCCAGTGTTGTCTCTGCTTACAAAGTGGAGGAATTACGGAAGTAACACGTTATCTTGAATAGATGGCAGATCATTTATGGTTTGATGAGATTTCAATTTCCTTGAGAGAAATACTTTAAATCTTCTTTTGT